CGGGCGGGACTGGGGGGGGGTGTTTACTGGCACGGTCGGGGCCGGGCCCGCCGGCGGAGGGAGGGGAGGAGGGAGCGGAGCAGGCCCGGCCCGGCCCGGCCCAGTCCCCCCACCCCAGCCCCGCGCTCACCCGCCCGGCGGCCGCGGCCCCGGCTCACCCGGAAGCAGCTCGTCGGCCGCCAAACATCACGTGAGCGCCGGGTCACGTGAGCCGCGCGCCGGGGGGCGTTGCCGTGGAGACGGCGCGGGAGTCATTCCACCTCGAGACCAGCGCGCATTGCGGCTGCGCGGGGGGAGCACGATCGCGGGGCCGAGGTATATGACGTCATGATTTTCTCCGATTAAAAAAAAAAAAAGAAAAATCCCCAATTTTCGGTTTAAAAAAAAAAAAAATCAAGTCAGTCTTCCATGATTTAACTGAAAGTCTATCTATGAATCAATTAATTAGTAATTAAATGAATTAAAGAATTTGTGTTTGGTTGGTCTAGTAAAAGCCATCGCTGCGAGTCCTGGTGACTCTCTGGCTCTTAGCAGCGTTTCATTTAAATCGTGAGGAAATGTGGATTCGGGGTTACTTCTTTCATCCCCCAAATCAGGGATTTTTTGGGTTTTTTTAGATCGGAGAAATCCCTGAATCCGCGATGATGCAATCACAGGACCATGGCGCTACCACTGTGACCACAGGTCGCGGACAAACGATAGCTTCTGTCGTCGCGTGTGATGTCACCGCAGTGAAGTCGTCAGAGGGCCGGGTGACCTCACCCCCTGGCACCAGCTTCTTCCGGGGCACCGTAGTGACATCACAAACCTGGAACCTTGAACGGGTGATGATGCAATCGCAGGACCATCACACAAGCACCGTGGGAGAAGCGACAGTGAAGTCATCAGAGAGCTGAGTGACCTCACACCGTGGCACCACTGCAGTGACATCACAAACCAGGATCCCTTAACCAGTGATGACGCAATCACAGGACTGTCCTGCTACCACCATGACCGTAGGTCACAGTCCAGCGACAGTTTCTGTCAGCGCATGTGATGTCACCGCCGTGAACTCACTAGAGGGCCGGGTGACCTCACACCCTGGCACCAGCTTCTTCCCGGGCACCGCAGTGACATCACATGGCAGCACTGCAGGAAGGTATTACAGCACGGCAGTGTCCAGTGAAAGGCCGCGGCTCTCTCCTCTGCGGTGACCTCACAGCCTTTCGTGACCTCATTAGGCCGCAACACAAGCCCATCACGCCAGATGTCTGCCTCCCCGGCCTGCAGGAAGCAGAGCGCAGGGTGCAGACCCCGCGGACGGGGCAGCTCGGATCCAGACCGGTCCAACCCGCTGGTAATGGCGACAACCGTCCCCTGCTTGACATGCAGCCGTACAGCTGCCGCTGCCCCAGGGAAAGGGCAACGTGGAAAAATACATGTTCTTGGCAAACCAAACCTGTTTCTGTATCATTCGGATTGTGTGAGAAACTTCCAGTAAATGGTATGACACACACGTGACACTGGAACAAACAGAAACCAGCCGCTGGAACGGAGTTTGCTCCAGTCCAAAGTTTGTCTCCACCTCCCGTTGTACATACTGTCCGTTCGCTCGGCTGAGACTTTGCAGAAAAGCCCACGCATTACTAACGAGATTGTCCATGTCTTTGGTGCTTAATCCCTCAGTGACGGCTCCGTCATCTCTGCGATGACTGGTCATGACATCGCACGGGGAGATAAGGCATGCAGAGAGTGACAGAGCAGCAGCGCGTGACCCTGCCTGGCAACAAATCTTCCTGATTTCCCGCAAACACCCTTTGTGGTACTGTATGATAAGGCAGAAACTATCTAAAACGAGCAAGTTCGCTCCTGTGGCACATCCCTTAGAGAGGAAAGGGGGAACGTTTCTAAGTAGAGTTACACCAGGGGTAGCAAAATGACCTGCCATGAAGCATCTTTAGCTCTGCAGTACTACAGCCCCACCAGTGCAACATCATCCTATGAGCTATGGACCCTCCTTTGTTCAAAACCTAAGACAACTTTGCACAATTACAGGCACTAAATGGATAGAAGAAGGGTGCCCTGCTTAACAGCACAAGCCAGGGTTGGGAGAAATGAATTTACTTCCTGCTCCATCACAGATCATCATGACCTTGGAGGTGAACAGGGGGTGACCCTGCTTTGAGCAGGGAGCTGGACGAGATGACCTTATGAGATCCTACCTTTCTATAATCCTATACAACCCGTTGGGCCAAATCTGCAAGAAGGACATAATGACCCAGATCAAATGAAGGATTTAGATGCCTACAAACTAGGTGCTGTATCAGGCAGCAGGGCTGCAGAGGGAAATCCAAAATCCAGAGTTCGGCACCAGCTCCCTATTTGGTGCATGGGGAGATGTATTTGATGCAAAACACTTGCAAGCCGAGCGAGGAACTACTTAGACCTAGCTGATAGGAAACAGTGAGCACCAGAGTGTGTCTGAAATGCTCTGTAAGAGCAAAGCTCTGTAGGTGAAGCACCTGAACTAGGGCTGTAAGGGAGGCATCTCCATTTAGTCAGGCCTGACAGCCCCAAAGCCACTCGCGAGGGTAGATGCTTATCATTGAAAAAGAAGGTGGGAAGGGACCTCAGGAGGTTGCATCTAGTCCAACCCCTGCTCAAAACAGGATCATCCCCAACTACATCATCCCAGCCAAGGCTTTGTCTAGCTGGGTCTTATAAACCTCCAAGGAAGGAAATTCTGCAGTGTCTCTGGGTAACCTGTTCCAGTGCTTCACTACGTTTCCCATCAGAGAGCTTTTCCTACTATCTAACCTAAACTTCCCCTTGCTGCAACTTGAGACCATGCTTACCTCCAGTCTTGGGAACTGTTGAGCAGGGCACATTCAATTTAAAGCACGGCTGAATGTGGTGCCGGCTGATTAGAAGCCCTACCCAGGACCTGGGAAAGTTGGGCCCTTTGTGGCATCCAGAGATTAAACCCACTTCTTCCAAGAGACTGCCATGGCCACCAAGCTATCAGCTAGGCAGGAAGAAAAGCGGTCTCTGCTCCTCCTTCGGAGGCTGGGCTGCTGCATAGCAAAGGATGCAAAACTGATGGAGGCAGAAGGGGAATGTGTAAAAGGTTGCATGAGCACCACGCTAGGGATAAGGTGGAGCCGCTGAGTTTTGGATTCTGCTTGCTGGACTCTCTGTGTTTGACAAAGTCATTCGATAAGCACCAGAGAGACCAGTAACCCTGCAAGCAGGGTGCTGGCTGCTGAGAATCCCATTCTGAGCTGCCTGACTTCCCCACGCATTGTAGAAGAAGCCTAATCCTGCTCCGAGGGCCAGGTGCCTATGCATTAGGCACAGCCGCTCAGTGCCGCAATGCCTAAGTCTTCCTATCTAGCATGTCGTTGGTGCTGTACAAACAATAACAGCAATAATACAACTGCTCAAGCTGCAGGAGAAACTCTTGGGGCAAAGCCATCTCAGCAGAGGCTCCTCGACAATGAAACTCCACGCCAGAAATCAGATGAGCCCAAGGCAGACCATTTTCAGAGCACTCAGCTGTAACCATAGCTATCAACACATTATCTAGGCACCAATTACAAAGTTAAAAGCTGCATTAAGCTAGTTCATAAATGACCCTGCTGATTGCCACTCCTAGACTTGGCCACTTCAACTCCAATTTTTTTACCCTCATCTCCACCCTTTGTGACATGGATTTGTTTATAGAGGAAGGCTTTAAAAAAGAAAAAAAGGTTGGGTGTGCTTGTGTAATGAAGTGCTGTTAGGAAGAGTATTCATTTCCTGGTTCTAGCTACTGGTCCTGGTTCAAGGTTCAAAAGGCTAATACTACTGTCACATGATTGTGTTCAGCTTCACAGAAAAAATAGGGCTGGGAAGGCCATCCAACCGTGCTCAAGGCCTGGCTGCTGTTACTACCAGAAAAGCACGGTCTGAACTGGATGTACTGCATCACCCCAAATTTCTGGTGCGGTCGTGCTGACATCCGTGGGTCAGTCCTGGACTTGTCAGAGTAGACGTGCGGCTTCCAAAGCCATGCTATCAACACCCTTAAATATATGCATGCTTTTTGCAGGGCTCATTTTCTTCTTAATGCAGAAAAAATACGCCTGTGTTCTTTCTTATTAGCCTATTGACACAACATTGGTGTTATTCTGTTCCAGCATAGATGAACAGAGCTCTTGCTAACTTCCCATTAAAAAACACTTACCCACATTCCTCTGAATGTTTTGTTTGCTTCCTTTTATACATTCCTGAGAGTGCTTTGTCTCTATTTGTTTTTTTCCCCCCGGTATCTGTTTCAGTGAGATAAAGAACCAAGATGCATTCAGAAACTACACGCTTTTTGCTAACAATTCTCATGGTTTTGCACAACTCGCCTAAGTTATTCAGCTCCTAGCACAGAAAAAGAATATTTGCTCGCTTATAGCCTCCATCATCTGACAATATATTGATACAAAATTCATCTCCATTGCTGCTTTCTATAGTTACACATTTAATTGGACATAATAGATTTCCTTGTTGACCTCCAGTGGGTCAATAACGTGCGTGTGAGATTATGACCAATGCTTTCCCTGGGCTAAATAAAAGACTGTTTTAATGGGAACTGCATAACTCAGGGAATTGTTAATGGAGTATTGTCTTTCACCTGTAGGTGCCAGTTTGAATTCAGCCCAAGCTGGTAATGATTCAAAGTGCTTATCATGTAGGGGCTGTCTCATTGTCCATGTGAAATAAATTTGGTGGGTCTCAGTCTGAGCGTTAGTTGACAGGTATCCATTTCACAAAACCTTCATCACAGCTGGCACAAAGAATGTCCCTTTGCAGACAGACAATCTCAGCAGAGACCCCAAGGACCAACCAGGCCATGGGAACCAAGTTCACCTCTAAAAATACTTCTTCTGTGTCAGGGTTGAAATCATGTTGGTGGGACAACACTGGAGAAGCATGTGCTACTGCTGGCCCAGCCTTTAGCTATTCTGTGGCAGTGTCTACACGAGATGCTGACTGCACAGTTATTACTACGCAGTCATTTAATACCTGCATAACCAAGTACTAAATGACTGCGCAGTAACTGGCGTTACTGCACAGTAGCATCCCCACACGGCTTCTGGGTGACACTGACTACTGTGCGGTAGCGTCACATCACCGTTTGCACCCCATAACACTACTGCATAGTAC